GGAAACTAATACATACCATAGATGAGAGACAAAAAGGTCAGATACGTGTGTGTGTGTGTGTGTTCATTTAACCAATAGAGCTATGATTAGGGCCCTACCAAATTCACGGTCCATTTTGGTCAATTTCACAGTCATAGGATTTTAAAAATTATAAATGTCATGGTTTCAGATATTTAAATCTGAAATTTCATGGTGTTGGAACCACAGGCCCTGACCCAAAAAGGGGCCATGAGGAAGATTTGCAAGGCTATTGTAGGGGGGTCATGTTATTTCCCCTTACTTCTGTCCCGCGGCAGTGCTGCCTTCAAAGCTGGGGCAGCCATAGAGCAGTGGCTGCTGGCCGGGCACCCAGCTATAAAGGCAGTGCTGCTGCTAGCAGCAGCGCTGAAGTGAGGGTGGCATGGTATGGTATTGCCACCCTCACATGTGCACTGCTACTGGTGGTGACACACAAGTGAGGGTGGCAATACCATACCATGCCTCCCTCACTTCTGTGCTGCTGCTGGTAGCAGCGCTACTTTCAGAGCAGGGCTCCCAGCCAGCAGCCAAATAGCTTCCTGCAGTTGGGAAAGGTTCTTGGAGGTGGGTCTGAACTGGCTCCAGGAGTGGCCCCTGCAGAGGAAGAGGAAGTCCCATCGCTTCCCAGCCTGGCCGGGACTAGCAGCTGGACGCCGGCATATGATAGGAGCCCCCAGCCCTGCCCCTCCCCTACACTAGCCAGATTTTATGAGACCCAGTTTTCCAGGGGAGATCAGATTTCACAGTCCATGATGTGTTTTTCATGGCCGTGAATTTGTTAGGGCCCTAGCTATGATAGCATAATCTACTGTTTTAACTGTTTAAAAAACCAGTAATATTCTCACAGTATGCCACCTTGTGGTATGCTAAAGTTATTTCTCATTACCCATTTTTCTGTGACACTCCCCCTGCCCTCAGATTGAGCCTGATCTTCAAACCTTTAATCAAGTGAGGAATCTCACATAAGCAGTGTTCATGAAGGCAATAGGACTACTCAATGAGCCAGGACAGTCCACTTGATTAAGGTTTTGCAGGATCAGTTGAGTTCCTGTTGGTGTAGCTCCTCTTCTCAATCACTTGGTTGCTCAGGGCTCAATTCTGCAAGTTGCTGAGCTCTCTGGCCTTGATACACTTATGTACATCCCGAACTTTAAGCATCTGAATAACCTCAATTCTGACGTGCTTAAAACTAATCGGATGTTTAAGAGCTAAGCTTCAGGGCCAGAGTGCTAAGCAAAATTCAGGATTGAACTCTCAAACTGTGCAACTATGAACAGCTTTCTGCAGGAGTGGGAGATGTGGGAGCTGGCACATGGAGCTGGCACTTTTTCCTCTTCCCTGCCAGTCAGACCAGGTCTGAACCGGATACCGTCCACTTACAGAATCAGTACGGATAGTCAGGGGCCAGGCTAGGTATTTCCAGGCTTGATCAGAAAAGCTCACCCTATGGCAGGGGTGGCCAACCTGAGCCTGAGAAGGAGCCAGAATTTACCAATGAACATTGCCAAAGAGCCACAATAATATGTCAGCAGCCCACCATCCGCTCCCACACCCCGCTTCCTGCGCCTTCCACCCACCAGCAGCCCTGCCAATCAGCATCTCCCGCGTCCTCCCCACACCTCCCAATCAGCTGTTTTGTGGTGTGCAGGAGGCTCTGGGGGGAGAAAATGGGGGAGGAGCGAGAGCACTGCAGGCTCAGGAGAGGAGGCAGGAAGGGGTGGAGTAGGGGCAGGGCCTATGGCAGAGCCAGGGTTGAGCAGTGAGCACCCCCTAGCACATTGGAAAGTTGGTGCCTGTAGCTCCAGCCCTGCTTATACAAGGAGCTGCGTATTAACTTCTGAAGAGCCGCATGTGGCTCTGGAGCCACAGGTTGGCCACCTCTACCCTATGGTATGCCGGATTTTCCCCAATGGATGTGAAGGCAAGGAGCTACAAGTTTCAGTTAGAACTTCCCCAGTTACTGAGAGTTCGGTGGCAACTTGCAAAAAGTAAAACAGTTCCAACATCTTGTGTCAAAAGTTTAATATCAAACAGCAAACAAAGTAAAACCGTTCTCTTCAAAAGGCTAGAAATCAATTGCAGGTTGAAGCTGTCTCTGGTGAAGATCATGCTCTGTGGAAAATAAAGATTGAATAATGAAGTGTTGCTGCCACCTACCGAACATATGTAGCACATAGTTTTACTATTTGTATAGTGGTTGGTAGTGAAACTAGTCACTTTACTAGATAATCTAAAAGATGTGTTAGCTATTTGCCAGCATTCATTGTCCATTTCATGCAAACAAATCTCAGCCAATGGATGTTTTGTAAACTGTTCACTCAGACTGAGCACTCTGTTATTCTTTGTGTGTGATTTGTCACCTATATTACATGGCATTGTTTCTGTCGCCTGAATGGATCACTGAAATATTTAAGCAAGAGTATTATGTATAACAATTGACAAATAGCGAATAATGTTCAGTGAATGTTCTTTTTTTTGCACAAACACTCTTGCTCACATATAAATATACCCATATATAAATATAAATATGAGTATTTCAGCAAGGCTGGACATTCCCCAAACAATTGTATAAGCAAAAGCCTGAGAATGTGAATGTTCATGAACAGTAAGTAGTAATGTATATGAACATGGTATAAATGAACAGCCATTCAAAATCTGAAAAAGTGGTATTGAACTTCTTAGCAGGATGTAACTACCTCCAGCCTTAAGGTATATTTCTATATTGTAATTTACATCTGTGTCTGAAGTACAGCTAGAAAGCTTCTATTGCACAGCAATATCACAGAAAATATCTGAGTCTGCCTGACGCTTTGGTTTATTTGGTTGGTGTTTGGTTTATGCTGGCTTCAGAAAAGTGCAGTCTTGAATTAAAAAGTTACCTGTATTAGGGTATGATGTGGATTAAAGCAAAGGATCTTTTCCACAACAACAAGGTGAGAGTAAACTTCTTGAGCACTTTAAGGTATTGCATACTTGAAAGAGTTGTTAGTCTCTCTCTCTCTCTCTTTCTGTAATAGGTTTCAGAGTGGTAGCCGTGCTAGTCTGTATCAGCAAAAACAACAAGGAGTCCTTGTGGCACCTTACAGACTAACACATTTATTTGGGCATAAGCTTTCGTGGGCACAAAAGCTTATGCCCAAATAAATGTGTTAGTCTCTAAGGTGCCATAAGGACTCCTCATTGTTTTTTCTCTCTGTAATGTGGCCAAGAAACTCAAATATGCTTGTCTGACTTCAGTGAAAATGCTGGATGCTCCAAACTTTTGAAAATAGGTCACTTGTTTATGTGACTAATTATGGACTTAGAAACTTAACTTGGGCTCCCATATTTGAAAAATCTTTGCCATAAAATCACATGATTTATAAACCTTAGCTATGTTAACTATCTCTTAAACCCAAGCAGGTAGTTCCATCACCTCCACTGTCCCCACACAAATACATACCCATCTTAAACTTCCCCATTGGGAAATGCCAGCTATATATAGTATAGTATAGTATAGTATAGTATAGTATAGTATAGTATAGTATAGTATAGTATAGTAAGGTGGGATCTTCCTTTATTTCAGAAGTAGCTTTCAGATCTACTATTAACAATTGTTACTGTTATATTCAGTTTGTTATTGTTAACAGTAGATCTGAAAGCTACTTCTGAAATAATGGAAGATCCCACCTTATTTGGTTAATAACTAGCACCATCACTTGCAAAACTTCAAAGGGTTCTCTAAACATAGACTTTTCATCAGTGATGCTGCAAGCCTTAGTTCTAATCTTTCATGCTTCACATGCAAAAAACATCAAAAGAGAAAAAAGAGAATAGCAGTTTCCAAAGCAACATTGCTCGGTTTGAAAACTGTATGTTTAGCAATACATACAATTCAAGTGGGGAAATTATTATTTACATAAGAGATATTTTAATAAATACTATCATTAACTTTTTTCCTAAAAAAAAAAAAGAAAAGATTTATGCAGTAAAATATAACGTCCAAAGCTCAAGGGATTTGTAGAAGAAAATGAAAAAGAATCAGAAAGTGTCTTATGTAGAAGCCTTGAAAGGAAGAAGATCAATTTATATTCTCTCTTACTTACTGAAACACATTCTGCATATTTTATTGTTTCTGTCATCTTGCTTGTTATAATCCATCCAATGAGTTCTCAAAGAACATTAAATCCTACAAATAAATAAACTGTGAATGTTAAGGAAGATACAAAAAGGCAACAATTAATATCAAAAGCCAGATTTGAAGGCTTTTATTAAATAAAATAAGTATATTAGGCAATGACTCTCTGCCACTGAGCAATGAGAGTTATGTAGGAGGAAATCTGAAAATCTTAAGTGTCATGAGAATTATATTTCTAAGCTTGTTGCAGCCAAGAACTAGAATAAAATATCAGAATCACCATTGTTGTTTTTCAGAAGTACAGTTAAAATAGCTTTGTCTGTCTTCCTGTCTCCTCTGATCAGAGGATCCAAACAGTTTTTTGAAATCATTATGTGGCCATCATTGCTGTACCAATGTGTAGCATATTAGATATAATGCACAGGGAGAAATAAATCAAGCAAGAACAGACAAAGATGCTGATTTGCCATGATAGTTGTGCACCTCAAATCTATGCACAGCCCTCTTTGCCTCTGTTCTTGAATGTTTTAAGATTCAACGTTTTACAATAGAATCTGTGAAGGAAGAAGAATATGGGCGAGGGAAAACATTATGACTCATTGGGCAGAAATATAGATAATGCTGAATAAAAATGAGTAGCTGTGGCTAAAGCAAAGGATTCACCTTTTCACGGCCCTATTCTGCTCCTCAAAATACACATAAAACTCTCCTGTGAAATCAATGGAAGTTATTTATATCCTGCAAGGGGCAAATCAGGCCCAGGATCTTGAAACACCAATAAAGAATCAGTGTAATTGCTCTTCTCTCTTGGTTCACAGACATGATAACAAGTTCAAATTCAACAGTTTTTCTCACTGACTCAGATGATCCAGGGTTCTGTTAGGTTCTGCGAGGATTAAAATATTTGATCACATCTTTTCATGTGTTGTCCTGTGTCACAAAAGATCATTTAAACTGACAGGATGTTGGATGTGGTGTAACTTTATGATAAAATGACACAAATTTTAAAGAATTCCATATCAGTAAATGATAAAAAAAAAACATAACCCATTAAAGTTACAGGTTTCCCAGCTAATAATCTTTTAGGTACTGACAATTTTAGGTTGGATCCCAATCCCGCAACAGGATCTGAACATACCCAAGAGTCCACTCACGTGGATCCTGTTGTAGGACTGGGGTTTTCCCATAGATTGTGGGTGCTTTGGCTCCACGTTACCTAGCTTGGGATGGCTTTTCCCTCTGGTTTTGTGTACTTACTATGAGGAAACAAGCTCCAATCATTATAGCCTTGATTTTCACGTCAAGCTCTACAGGAACCTGGATCCCAAAGTTAGCAGCATTGGTAAAGACATTGTTTACAAACCCAGACCAATATTTGGAAATCTTGCCAATTGTTGACATTTCATTAAGAGTTTTTACCTACACAAGAGAAAAGAGGGATTAAAAAATAGCCACACTAACGTATAGCCCCCTCCAATCCCTCCCTCCAAACAATAATTTATTGGATTTGTTATAATCAATGCCCTGTAACAGACAAGAAAGTATTCTATTCTCAGTGGGCCAGATCTCAGTTGGTGTAAATCAGAATAGTTCATTAATTCCATTGGTGCTTTTCCAGTTTACACAAGCTGAGGATTTGGCCCCAGAAGGTGAAATGAAATTTACCCCCATGTAGATAGCCAGAACCATTAATCTCCATGCTTACTAGAATTTATTATTATAATCAAAAGAAAAAATGTTTACTATTTTGAATAGTTTTACAACCTCTGCATTTCACCTTTCTGGGAAATTTTGGGAAGCCTTCCCTCCCCGCCCCCGGGGGGAAGGGTTATTCAAAGCATGAGAATATGGAACACACCATCCTATTATTTTTATTATTACTCCACCTCTCCCATCTTCACCTTTACTTGCTTGTCTCCTGCAGTTATGTCTTGTCTTTCAGACTTTAAGCTCTTTGGGGGCAGGAACTGTCATCTTCTATGTTGGTACAGTGCCTAGCACAATGGGTCCTAGCCTTTGGAGGCCTCATGGTGCAATCACAATATAAAAAATAAATGAAGAATAAAGCCACCTTTCCTTGACACTTCCTGCCTATGAAATTTCAAGTTGTCACAGAGAGAGGATCCATGTTCTGTCTGAGGTGTTTTAAATGGAATTCCAGAAAAAAATCAGTTTCTGACATGTGGAAAGCAGGCTATGTGGCCAACAGCATCACCATGTATCACATTTGCCCCATTGTCTGAGATTATGATCCCAGAGGACAGAGAGAGGAGCTGGTCAACCATTCCCGTCATCTCACCTCCCTCCATTTGTACACTGAACTATTGTGCAGTTTCTAATTGTGGAAACTGCACATGCATAGCATGTCACCCTAATGTTGCTCCTGCAGAATGGATACCCTTCTCTCCATCTAAGTTACCCTCCCAAAAGCTGTCCCAATGGCCAGTCACAATCAGGCTGATTCTGTTCCCATTGGAAATCAGGGGCAAAATACCCATTAACTTCAATGGGACTGGTTCCATTGTTCCAGTGAAATGACAACTGGCACAGGTCCTCATGTGTTTAAAGCTGGGGCCAAAGAAAAAGAGCACATCTGAACATCCACAAATGTTGGATGTGAATTCAAATTTTGTGGCTTAGGCTCATCTTTCATTTTGTTTGGAGGAAAATTATTTCCCCAGACTTTTCCCATGATCAGCAAATGAGAATCTCAGCATTTTTGTCAGCTTGGCACTAAACAATAGCTTTGCAGGGCGTGTGCTGAAATTCAGTTTATGGCAGGCATGCTGGACACACATCTGCAGCATCACAACACAACAAAGACCTGCAGCATCCACAACATCAGAAAAGCAGACAAAATTCAATTGGAAAATATACATGTAATTGCACAAACAGAGCAGCTGCTGCCACAGCAGCAGATATAGTGGCAGCAGTTAGACACCTTCCTTTCATACCCCTATCCTCAAGCAGGATGTCACAAGATCACTGAATCTGGCCTATTCTCTGTACACAAAGAGTCAGAGGACTCTTGCTTCAGCCATGCTGCTGTTGAGAAGTATTGTGTCATCAGTGATGATGAAACAATGGAAAGAAAAGAGACAGCGGCAGCAGCTACAGTAGATTCCGCAACAATAGCTTAGATGCAGATGACGCTGATGCAGCTGCCTCTGACCAATGGAGTTACTTGCTCTGACACAGAATACTGAGACATGGAATACTGAGAAATGAGATGGATTTCCTTCTATCTCTTAGCTTCCCCTAGCCACTGACTTCGGATTACCACTAATCAGTACCCTCATGTTTGTCATCACCTATATGCTTTGGGGCATCATGCTTATCTTTATCCATGTGAAATGACACACCAGAAAGATACTTTGGGATCAGCAGCAGCACTGGAGCTGGTTGGAAACCAGGCAAAAGAAATTGTGAAAATGTACACAATTCTCCCCCTTTTTCACAAGGAAATTTCACTTTGACAAAAAAATTCTTGACTAGCTGTAAATAGTAGTAGCATCATGTCTTGGGACCAATGCCGCCCTAACTTCTGGCTCAGACAAATGTGTCCCTGATTGTTTGGTCATTACAGTTAGTTGGTAAATTAAACCTACATTTGTGGCAGAACCTCATTGAAGTCTTTTGGTGTGGCTGTTTAGGAGGTACCCAGTGTAGAAGGTTGCTATGATCCCTTAATCTTGCTAAAACAGAGAGAAAGTGAGAAATCCAAAGCACTGTGATTGTCATAGCAAATTTTGTGCATGTTTTGCTCTCCCCAAATCCCTCAAATCTACTGCTTCTCAGACTTAACTGTCCTTCTGTAGAAGCAGCAGTTAAGTGGCTGTTCAATGGCAATACTACTCTCAGAATAGGTCTAAGGGTATTGAAGTCAGTGGAAAGTGTCCCACTGAATTTAGTGGACTTTGGATCAGCACTTTACTGAAGGAGACTGAGACGTGATCCTGGCTCTATTGAAGTAGATGGCAACACTTTCATTGATTTCAGGGGGTCCAGGATTTCACCCCAGGAGAATGTTTTTTCCTGCATCTTTTGTCACTCCTATCTAGGAAATACATGTGGTAGACTCAACTTCCAGCCTAAGATCTGAGGTCAGAAATATGAACTTTGATTTGTCACTCTGTGCACTGTTGACATCTGGTTCCTACATTACAGTAGTTCATTGGTTTTATTTTTAAGTTTAAAACCTTGATTGAATGTTTCAGTCAAAATATTATATTACTTTTAAACAATGGGTATTCTCTAGTGTATGAAACATACCTCAAAGTCTACATCTCCAAAACAGCTGCATGTTGCATAGGGGCCAATTATTTTCAATACATCTTCTTTGCTCTCATTCAGTATAGTGAATTTAGGCAGCAGAGGGTCCCAGTTCTGGACAACGTAGCCGACTATTGTACCAGGAGGGGACTGAACTTCTAACTATTAGACAAAAGTGGCATACAATAATAACATGTGTAAATTTACAAGATTAATTGCCCTATTTTTAAATGCAAAATTTTAAACCATAAACATGGTATGAAAAGACTTCATAGGATAGTTTTAAATATATTGAACAATATTAACTTAATTGCTGCTAAAGAATAAAGTTTTGTATAACATGAAAAACCATATGTATACTGAAGCTAATGTATTTACAATAATTAGTTAATATACCAAGGTCTATTTATATAGAGATGTTGATACTTCTGTACATCGATCTGCGTCTCTAGTGCAAATCATAATGCACCACTGAGAAAGTATATGGGCAAGTATATAAAGCATAAAATGATGAAATCAACATGTTGGACTAGAATATTCACCTTTCATAGTCAACGCATCTCAGAGTCAGATGCTTTATAGTAATGAGTGGTGCAACACAGAAAGAATCTGTGTTCTCATTCAAAGGGAGCACGCTCTTAACACAAGACTGTGGATACTGTGAAACTGTATAGGAGTGATATTAGGACTTTCTGTGGCAGAGTCCAGGGCGCTGACATCTAAGTCAGACTGACGCACATTAATTAAGGACCTATCTTTCCATGTACTTTACTGTCACACTATGTGATTTGCACTGTAAAGTTACTGTTAGTCTGTGACAAGTAAAATTATATTTATTGTGCTAATTGTTCCTATAGGATTGTGTTAAAAATGCACAAAAGCAAGTTATTCAAACTATACACACACACACCCATACACACATATCTCATAGGATTTATCAGGACTAATATGGACATTTTTGTACTAAACATAACAAACAGCAAGCAAACCACCACCAAACAGGGGTGAAATCTTGACCCCATTTGAAGTCAGGTATTGCCACTGATTTCACCCATGATGTTTAATTTCTCATAAATATCAAAATGAGTGTTATGTAATCTGTAAGAAATGACAGTACTTTTACGATTCAGCTTGAAATTATGATACAATGTCTTGCATCAAACTGAAGAGTGGAAACTGAAACATACTACAAAAATACATATACTTCAAACAAAGCATGGCTCACGTGCTCCAGTCGTATAAATTATCGCCCCAATCCTGCACTGAGGACTGACCTCTACATGGGCTTCATTGCAGCATTGGGGCATATCTGAGCAGTGTTGAGTGCAAGTTCTCTAATCATTTGTGGGTCTGGACTTGCAGAGTCTAATCAGATCACTCAAACCCTCTATGTTAACATGGCAAAAACCCTATGGAACTTGCCATGCAGCTAGTCTGCATCATACCCGTAAACTTCCTTGCCTGCCATAGGCTACCTGTAATTAATGGTCTCATTCATCATTAAGGAAGTATGTTCCTTGCTAGTTACTTGTCTTGACAATTATTATTTTTATGGATTTTTTTAAAAAAAGAGGAAATATGGTCTAGCAGCCAGAGCCCAGCCTTCTGGTCTCTATGTCTCACCACATGAAGATGGACAAAATACATAGTCCTTTCTGTGCATTTTACCCATCTGGAAAGTGGGTATAATGCCAAACTGAGAGAGGTCTCGTGAGGCTTAATGAAAGTTCGTAAATAATTTGAGATACATAAATGAAAGATGCTGTTGTTATTATTCACTGACCTCTTGCATGTAGCAAGGGAACCAGCAGCTGTTACATCTCAAGGGTCTATTCACTGTGATCACCTCTCGACCGGTGTTATCAGTAATCCTTATGGTGAAAGACCGTATAGGTGAACAGAAGTTACGATCAAAGCAACCATTTTCTTCCATTGCAAAGTAAACTCTTTGTCCCAAATGGTTTTTTATCTCATATTTGCTGCAGGTCTCCGTACCAAGTATGACTAATAAAGTAAAACAGTTAGCAAGGTATTTAGTATAATAAATTAGAATTAAAGGTGGTCCAAAAACATCTGATCCAAGTTTGGATCCAAGTTCACAGTCCAACCCTCTCTCTCTAATGTATATTGTAAGTTCTTTGGAACAGGGACCATTTAAAAATTCCTTTAAAGTAATTAAACTATGCAATTATGCAACACTAATCAGACATTGGATTGAATCTGAACACCATGGAATCTGGAAAAATTCAGATCTATATTTTAAATCAAATTAGAGAGTGCTCAGATCAGACTTTGGTTTGACTCAGTATAGAATTATAAAGTGTTGGACTCATCACTAACTTAAATAGGTGAAAAGTAATGACATGATCCTGTTCAGTTTTGCTCAATGGCAAAACTCCTATTCATGTCAATGAGGCAGGATCAGGCCCTATGCCAATCTGCAGTGAAAAAAAAATCAAGAAACATGACATTTCATTTGCAGCAGTTAATGTTTCTAGAGTGCTTTGCAATATTAAAGCACTATATACATGCAAAGTAGCATGCATTATTGTATCACTTACAGATACCTTCTGTTTCTTTAACTCATCTGATCAGAGAGCATTACATTATTTGGTAATGTGTGAATAATTGCTAAAGAGAACATCTTCCCAATCCTGGAAATACTTATAAACATAAGTAGCTTTAGGCATGTGAGCAATCCCAATGAACTCATTGATGAAGAAACTTTTATGGCTGGAGTAGAGACTCATTATTGACTTTTTCCTCTCCTTTTATTGCGGTAGAATTGCCGTAAACAAAATGAACTTTCAGCATTAAACCTATCAGTGCATGGAGGACCTGATAAAATGCCCATTAAGGTCAATGGGAGTGTTTTCATTGACTTCAATGGGAAAAGGTCAGGGCATAATTTATGTTACATTTACAAAGATATCTACATGCTGGCATTGTAAAGATGAAACTCATACACATGGTACCTTCAAGAAGCTCCACCTGCTGGTGAATGATTATCTGGTCCAGCTGTTAAAAAAATGAAAATAAATGAAAGTACATGGTGACACTCTTATAATTTTAAAGAGATTTGGAGTTGCCACAGTAATCGTTCTCATATACCTGTCAAGGACACCATATGTTCCAGCAGACCTACATTTCTTTGCTCCCAGGCCAGCAGGGGCTGGGTATACTGGGGAGCATCCTGTGTCACTGTAGTCATCTTCTTGTTAATTCAGAGGGGTCGACCTGCTCAAGAGGGAGCTGGTTCTACTCCATGCCAGCTGGAGGAACATGATATAAGCTGTGATGGTTATGTATTGTATGCATCCATTTGAAAACAGTGACCAAATGAATTCCACTGGGATCATGATGAGGCCAGCTGTAATTGAGGGAAATGTACAAAGGATGTAGAACCTGATTCTTTCTCCCACTCTGTCTCCTTTGTGCTGTTCTGAGTATGCAACGGTATCTGGCCCTTTCCCCCCTGTTGAAGATTCACCTGATATGAGTGAGTCACCAGAAGGCACAGACAAGGACTTGTTGGGGCCAGAGAGGAGGCATGGCCAGTGCACACAGTGTTTAAAGTTATGCTGTAAAAAATCTGGAGATTCAGAAATAGTGGTCATCACATGGCATTCAAGGATGCCAAAATGAGCACACACACACAAAAATACACTTCTCTATAAAGCCAACTTGTTGACCAAGGAGAAATGATCATATGATTGATAGATTATAAACCCAGTGATAAACAGTGAATATTTTCCATGTATTTCAGAATCTCCTCCCCAGAGCTGCTGTCATGGTTTATTATTGCCTCTCAGGTATTCTTTCTGTTTTAAGAAGGGGGTGCTAATGCTGTAAAATTGACTGGCTATCACTTCAATGTCATTTTGACTGTAGGTCACCATACTAACAATTTAGCCTTTGGTCATTTCTTTTCCTTAAATTTCTGATGGCCATCAAATATTTGGTACAAGATTTTCTCATTACTCATGGCTGAAGAAAGAAAATATGGGATGACCATATGGGACCATCGTGCCACAGCCGTCCACTATATATCAACCTTGTGTAATACGTATTCAAAACAACTTGCAGCCATTTGGTTCAAGTCACTCCTGCAGCTCATCCAGTTTGCAAACTGAAGCTAGTGAGATAGCCTCCATGGCCTGACACTTATCTCTGAAGTACACATGCAAATAAGTGATTTCTGAATAAGGCCTTTGACCTTACAAACATTTTCTTAAGCACTTATGCTACTTGCAGCTTAAACTTCAGGAGGCATAACAGGAACCTCTTGCATCTGAAGGAGTTTAGTATAGAGCTTTGCTACCAATAAACAGGACAAATACTTTATAGGTTGCCAAACATTCTGAACACTGCAGAAATGACCCGATATTTGAATATTGGTTTTGTACCCCAATTTGGTCTTTCACAAGACAAAACATATTGAGTGATGTTACTGTGGTAAAGCCTACAGCTATTTTAACTGTATAAATTAATTTATTATCAAATAAAAATATGTCTAAGTTTGGAGAGTGCAGTAAGGATAGCAACATGTCATGTGCTTTTTTGTTTTATTGGATTCTGTAAGAAGACTGTCCTGATCCATCATTTATCAGTGCACTCAAAGAGCAAAGAGATTTCTCACATTGCATCTCAAAGTATCTTAGACCCTAAGATTTATAAGAGTCTATGCAACCCGCTTGACCTTAGTCCTTTTAGCAGGTTAATTATCTTTTTTTTTTAAAGGAGGCAGTTTTGGCTATATAACCTAAACATATCTCGGCTATAAAGGTACTGGCCCAACTTTTGAAGGTATAAATGTTTGCAAGACACACTCTTTTCCTACACTTTCTTCTCTTTTGGGTACTGTCCTGTATATCTCCATAGGCAAAGCTCTCTTTGACTTCAAATATAGTTCCAGGAATGGTCCCCACATTCACTTTTTGGGATTGTGGACAATGTATAAGGCTATGATATGGAAGACAATAAAGACTTGCATGCAATCTGTAACTGTAGAAAACTAAGAGATCCACTTTTCCTGAATCTTTTAATATATATATATAGAAAGCATGGTACCTATTCACTAAGGTGAAAAGCTGGCAAAGAAAAAGGAAAATATTTTCTCCCTACATCTTAGAAACAATTTCTGATTCCCCTTATGCATGCAGAGTAATAGATTACTCCTCAGCTACTCCCATTTACTTCAGAGGGTCTGCTTGCCTCTACTCTACTCAATTGCAGGCCAAACCTAGAGCTAGGGGATCAGCCAAGGGAGTAGGCCTGGGGGATGGCAGAGGAGTTCTGATTAGTATGACCACCATGGGGATGGATACCAAGCAATGCATCAGAAATCAGGGCTAAGCATTCTGAGCTCGCACCATGCCAAGCACCAGTGACCAGCATATGGGGCAGAAGATGCCTTGTTTGGGTCTGAGGTGCTGGAGCTGGGTGCTGTTTGGACTCAATTGCCTTAGAGAGTATTAGCTTGTATATCTCAGCATCAGGACTGGATACAATGTACAATAGCTAATATGTGTGATTCCCCAAAGGGTCTTCCCTGAATCATCCCTGGAACTGATGGGGAAGTTGTCTCTGCTCATAGAAAAGTATGGTTTCGTTGCTGAGTACAGCACTTGTTTCTGGAGTTAGTTCCTGATCCTCAGAAGGTTTGGGAGTGAACAAGGGGTTGGGGCCTAGTCAGATGCAAGTGGGGTTTTCTCAGGCACATGGCTTGGGATTTGGGACTCCCTTAGCCAAGGCTGGGTCGCCCTCACCTGAAGTGATCAAGCATAGTTCATATTCTACATTGCACTGGCTCCCTGAAGTTATAGGTTCTTCTTGTAAAAAGGAATAGAAGCAAGTAATAAATACAGGAATGAGAGGAGACATCAGAAAGACTCAGCATGGTCAGAATAAGCAATGCAAAGTTTGGACACCTCTCTGAAGTTTATCCAAATAACCTGAGAAACTGGGATGCCAAACCTGCCCCTGTAGCCTTCCACCTTCTCCCACAAACCACCCCCTGCTCAATATGCTGAATAGCTATCTCTATTCAATACCCCAGTGAACTCTATCTTTTGCCTATCTCCCAGGAGAAAATGTCAGTGTAACCCCCAAGGAGTTTGCCTGCTACAAATCTCCTTGTACATCAGGAAAAGATATAGGGCCTACTCTCTCTACAGATGTGAGGGCCTCTTCTTCTGGGAAGATAGCTCTCCCACATCCAATTAGGTCACATTCTGAATTCCACTTGCTCCACCACTTGTCATGTTTGTGTTGTTAATCTTGCAAGAACTGGGGAAAGTAGGGATTTCAAATCATTGCAGAACACTGTGGTGCGTAAACTCCAGTAATTCTAATTTGCGAATCAGGTGGATTAAGTGGAAATGTAAATAGATCCCATGTTATCAATGTAGGGAACTGAGCTACTCCCAAAAGGTGATTACCCAACTAGATTGTAGGAAAGTAAAGTGCTAGAAGAAACAACCACTAGCACAGAGGTGTCTCTGAATAGAAGACTACAAGGATTTTGGAGGCAGCAACTTCTCAGCAGTTCCTCTGAATGGGAAAGGTTACACTGGGTAAAAGTCTGCCAGCCTCCTTCCATGACCACCACACCACAAGTAAGGAATGCAGTGAAGATTGTAGAAGATCTAGGGGTCATTCTAGAACCTCTCCTATTTCAGTTACTGGGTTCAGTTTGATTCTCTTCAATGACAAACAAGCGTTCTGGGGAGCAGGGATCCTTAATTTAACAGAACAAATGCTCCTAGGTATTTCATTGCTATCCTTTAATAGAAGCAGCTACTTCATTTGATTTTCTGCTACTGGCATAGATTTGAAGATTTAAAGAAACAAGCTTTGAGATTCTCTCAAAAGCAAAACTGTGATTTACAGCTGGACCTAACTCTGGTGAAATCAAACCTAAATGATGACTCCTTAAAACTCCTGCCACACCTTCAGCACACTTGGATATAAGAGTTCTGCCTCGGAACATCAGATCTGATCAAATGCTTCCAAATGTACAGTGAAAGTGGCTATTAGAAAACCTGCAGTTGTTCAGTGGCAAGTGGACAATTGTTTCAGAGCTGTAGAGAAGGTCTTCTCTTCTATTTCTCTAGACTGGGGAGAAACTTAAGGATAATCAGAGAGATGATATACCCATTATCTGAGGAGGCCATGATGGTTACATCACTCAGAGAAGCAGCCTGATTATTGGATTAAGTCTGGGCACGAAGTCCAGGAAGCCTGGAGCTCGTCATGGTTCTGACAGTGATTTGCCATTTGGCCATGTGTCAGATTGAAAATTTCTTTTAAATGGGGATCATAGAATTTACTGTCTTACCTCACTGGGGTAAGTTGAGGAATAATTAATGTTTGTACAGAAATCTGAACACGTAATATGCTAAGTATTTATTATTACCATCACACTTACTCCTTGACTGAAACTGCTTGCTCCACCATCCCTGAACTAATGCTCATGGACTCACCATCATGGCTCTAAAGCAGGGGTGGGAAAACTACGGCCCACGGACCACATCTGGCCCGTGGGACCGTCCTGTCCGGCCTCCGAGCTCCTGGCCCGGGAGGCTAGTCCCTGGCCCCTCTCCTGCTGTCCCCCCTCTCCCACAGCCTCAGCTCGCTCTGCGGCCGGTGCAATGCTCTGGGCGGCGGGGCTGTGAGCTCCTGGGGCAGTGCAGCTGCAGAACCCAGCCTCACCCAGTGCTCTGTACTGTGTGGTGGCGGCAGCGTGGCCTGGCTGCAGCCGGGCGGCACGGCTGTAGCGCCGCCAGCCACTGGTGCTCCAGGCAGCATGGTAAGGGGGCAGGGAGCAGGCGGGGTTGGATAGAGGGCAGGGGAATTTGGGGTGGTGGTCAGGGGGTGGGGGTGTGGATGGTGGTTGGGGGAAACAGGGGGTTGAATGGGGGCAGGGGTCCCGGGGGGCAGTCAGGAAGGAGGGGGGGTTGGATGGGGGGCAGTCAGGGGCGGGGGTTCCGGGGGGTAGTCAGGAGACAGGGAGAAGGGGTGGTTGGATGGGGCAGGGGTCCCAGGGGGGCCGTCAGGAATGAGAGGAGGGGTTGGATGTGGTGGCGGGGGTCCGGGGGCAGTCAGGGGACAGGGAGCAGGGATGTGTGGATGGGGCAGGGGTCCCAGAGGGGTCGTCAAGGAACGGGGGGGTTGGATGGGGCAGGAATCCCGGGGGGGGGGGCGCAAATAGGAGGTGGGGGTCGTGGCCACAACCCCCTCCCCTAGCCGGCCCTCCATACAATTTACAAAATCCGATGCGGCCCTCAGGCCAAAAAGTTTGCCTGTCCCTGCTCTAAAGTAAAGAACAGATTCTGAATGGGGTGAAAAACAATTACTATTCCCTTTAGGTGCCCAGTTTCATTAGCTATCTAATACTGACAGTGTTTTCAGTAACAAATAGACACTACACAATAATTTAGGCTGCAAATGTAAAATACATTATTTTTCCTATCAAAACCTAATGTGGATAGAAATATTCTCATGTATTTATTTCAGTTAAAGCCTTTATGGATTGAAATCTTCCTTAGCCCTGTTAGAATGTTGGGAGCCAAACTCAACATCTGTCTAGTGCATGAGAATCAGAGCTGCACATTCTAAATTATCAGACTAGTTTTACTGTCAAAACGGAGGGCCTGGTTCTTTCCCCCTCCCACATGCTGATCAGTGGGAATAACTGTGGAGTAAAGTACTACACAGTTTGAATAATGGTGGCAAAAGCAGGCCTTAAGTGAAGTGCAGACAGGACTCAAACAGCATATGTGGCAAGGTGATCAGACTTTAAAATGCTTTCATTCTGAATAGTCTCAAGTGTTCCTGGGAACACACCTGAGAATGTTTTTTGTCAAATAGATTCTTTCGTTTGAAGTGGCCTCTTGGCTATGAAGTTTAAAAGATAAAAAACGATTCACAATCATTGAAGCCTATTATGCCAATCATTTTACAAACCACAATTTGCTAGAGGCAAGGATGGTTTTGGACACAGTCTGTATAGGTGGCCATCTAAGATGCCATGATACAGGGATACTTATGGCTCTGGGAGAAGTACAAGTATGGACAGAAATCATCTGACTAAAAGACCTTCATGCTCCTCAAAATGTGGGCTCCATTTTAGAGCTTTGTTTTTCTCTCTATGAAGTCAATGGGAATTTTGGTAATGATTTCCATGGGAGTAGGACCGGGCTCTTAATGAGCTGGAGGGAGATTGGGGAAAAGAAAAGAGAGGTAAGGCATGACAAGGGGAGGGGAAAGAGACCCACTTTATTGAGTCATTGAGGAATGAAAGTGAAGGCAGAAGTAACCATCCTGCCCTTCCTGCAAGTCTAAATTAATTTCAAAGTTTTCTTTCGTTTCAACACAAACATAAGCTATTGAGGAAAAAAAATGTTATTAAAGTTTAGAGACAACAGGACCTGGCTCAGGTATTCCAGACCAGGAGGCAAGCTGTGAGGAGGCGGTGCATGCTTCCAGGCTTTTGTAGGTTCAACAGGTTTATTTTGGCTAGGAAGGTCTGGAGAACCCGGGAGATAATCCTGAAAGATTTTGTTTATTTGTCCTTGAGGATCTGCAGGAAGGAAAAAAAGACTTAATTAAGATTTAGATTATACAATTAGGATATGATATTGTTGCCTAGGTAACTTAACTGTTTACTTTTGTATCATTTTTATGTAGCTGTATCTATCAATGAGTGTGTCAGAATTTTGCAGGAATGGGATTTCTATCAACTTTGTGGTAGAATGTGGACACTGATACAGAGACACAAAGAGAGCAAGACCATGCACATGTACATTATATTATGCTGGGAGCTGAGTGATACCTCACTGGTGGGGCAATAGCTGCCCCTCATTCTGGATAAATGTAACACACACACAAGACTGGTCAGAAACCTGAGCTATGTGGGCAGAAGAGTTTCCCCGAGGGCTGAATGCAAAGGAAGGGGGATGGCTATTGTTTGAGAGAGCTGTGTGACAGAGAGAGAAGGAGCAGAAACACCATAGCCAAAGAAGGCAGCATCAGAGACAGTCTGAGAAGTGCTTGTCATGTGACCTTGTGAGACAGCTATGAGAGCACTTTTGGCTTGGAACTCTGAGCAGAGAAACTGTCTCTGGATCTTTGATTCCTGTGTGCAGGGAATCTAGACTTCATAGTTATTTTTTTCTGTAAACAAACAGGATTGCCTCAAAGAAATACCTGACTCTATCATTAATTTCTCCTCCTAATGAAAACAACCCCACAAGACTGCTTGGGTCAAATGGGGCAACGGTTTATATACTGAGAGTGCCTGTGCAGTATCCTCTTTAATGTTTATGGTTTTATTAGTGCATGATAGGCTTAATCTGAGAGAAACCTTCTCTAGAAAGTAAATGGCTTGTCTGGGATCTGAGGTTCCCAAAGCTGGCTTTTTTTTAAAAGGATATCAACGGCTGCATTCCTGTTACAATGGTTGGGCCTGATTCTCCACACTGACAAATTGGTTTTAACCAATATAATGCCATTGATTTAAATGGTGTTACACCAGGGTGAAATTAGAGTATTAGAAGATGAGGCTTTATCAGTCTGTGTACTTAGGGATTGATCCTGAAAACACTCACTATTACTATATACTGTTACTCACACCTTCTTGTCAACTGTTTGAAATGGGCTATCCTGATTATCACTACAAACGTTTTTTTCTCCTGCTGATAATAGCCCACCTTAATCAATTAGTCTCATTAGAGTTGGTATGGCAACACCCATTTTTTCATGTTCTCTGTGTATATATATATATCGTCCTACTGTATTTTCCACTGCATGAATCTGATGAAGTGGGCTTTAGCCCACAAAAGCTTATGCTCAAATAAATTTGTTAGTCTCTAAGGTGCCACAAGTACTCCTCGTTCTTTTTATTAGACACACAGTGTTTGTTACCTTGGGTAGTCCTATTTAAGGTAATGAGACTACTTATACTTGCAAGTGGCTGTACGATTGGGCCTATCTTACACCACCAAATGCCACCAAAGTCAATATGTGTGCATGTATATAACAGAAAGGAAAATCCATCTTATGAGCCCAATTCTGATCTCACACTGGTTTTACCACTGATTTCAGTGCAGCTAAATTAGTTATACTGGCATAAATGAAAGCAATGCTAGGCCCATTGTGTTTAAATAACAATGCATTTTATTAAACTGAGCCTCCACACTTAGATACTGTGAGTGTCCCCAAACAGATCGTTTCTATCAAGTGTGTGACAATACTTAGGCAGAATGGGGTTTTAGCACCAGAAGGAGCTGTGGCTTTAAAGTTTTCCTTTGCTGTTATGGGTTTAAATGAGATCCTTTAGCATTATTTGAACATAGTGTAGCTGATTCATCGTTTAATCATATTTTGATCTTAATTTAACTTTGCAGCTACTGCTTTCTTTCAAAGTCTGAGACTACAGGAGAAAGAAGGAAGCCCTTTGAATTTCTATCTGGCTTTTAAAAATGTATAACTGGGTTATGAATATTTTATAGGGGCTTCTGCATCATTTTACCTCACAGGGTACTGTTGTTGCTCTAACTCTTGTTACATGAAATGCCATGAAGTCTTATTGGCCAAGTGCTAGTGTCATTCTTGAATAGTAATAAGAAATAAAATGACAAACTGCAGTTTTGTCCATCGCATTTAAGTTATCAAAAAATCAAACAGCAAATACATTAAATATTGATGGAATCTAAGATACTTTGAAGCTTTGTCTATTTTTGTGCTTATTTTGTGAAGGTGTTTTTCTATTTCACTTATGGTAAGTGAACATTTAAGATAAACAAACAGATTGGACAGTATAATCATAATTTGTAGAATTATTGGCCACTGTCTAGAAGTGTATTACCATGTTTCTTTACTGTGGAAACTCTAATCTAGAAGGCTACATTATTCAGCTGTTTCTGCTAACTACTGTACATTAAAAATATACATGACAAATTCCCCATTATAACTTCAATAGAAATATGCAAGTCTTCACATTCCAAAAGAAGAATATTTCAAAGCATGCAGCAATAATGCTATAAAAACTACTTGGTACTCAAGAACATCCTTAGTGTTAAGTAGCATTGCATTTACAACGTTCTAGCAAAAAAGATTGCCGAAAACTGACAATCCTATATAGCAAATTGTTGGAACTCTGCTAGACCCCCAAATTCTGCTCCCACTGCACCTGTACAACTCAATGGGGTATCTTCAGTGGAGTTGTATCGACATAAAGGAGATCTGAATCTTGGCTCTTTCTGTTCAGTTACATCATTTGGTAGCATGTGCAAATGAACTTAGAAGGATTTTATGATTAACTGACTGCAATTTTCACTTGCAGTTCTGAGGAGCCAACTGGCTCCAGCTAAAGACAATACATGTCAAGAATGAACCCAAATATAGCTAATCTGACTAAATGCAATTAATCATCAAAAATTTCCTTTGTTACTTGGTAGCAGGATTGTGACACATCTTGAAAATGAGCATCATCTGCTGACACTCTATTTTCAAAGTTGACTATGGAAGAAGTGTGTGCAAAATATGTTAACCTTGGATCAGTGCATACCCTTTCCACATATTCAATACCAACTATTCAGGCAATGGTACACATAGAAATATGAACAAACACCTCACAGGTTAAATGCAAATGCTACTTTTTATTTAATATATTTTATTCAATTAACATTTTATTATCGATTTTACTCTCCTTAGGAGCATCTCATATTCTGAAAAACAAAAAAGGTGAAACAACCATGCTTTGGATGATGTGGCTTTAGTCTGAACCCCTCGCATTTAATAAAATTGCTGGAAATTTAAAAGACTGTAGTTTTCTGTAAACATGATATAAAAATACAGGCTATGTATGCACTTACCTTGAGAGGCCATGAAGCTGCCTGAGTCACTTCTTCAAAGGAAGCCAGGTTAAAAGAAAAGGCTTTTCTTGTTGCAGCAAGGGGGGTGGTGGAGAAGAAGCACAGCATGCACAAAACTTCAGAGGGTCTGTCTACTTCATGTCAGCTTACAAAAGAACTGGAAGGAAACGTATCGCGTTTCTTATGTTCCAGGACTATGCATTTTATGTGGATGGACAACAGGGGGAGATGGTGCTAGCAAACAAGAAAAATATTTCTCATTTTAAAGTCATTTTGCATCAATGAAAACAGGAAAGGGGCATCACCAGTACAAAGAAGTAAACTTTAAGTGCCCGCTGGTTAATTTAAACACATGGATAAGACTTAAGATTCTCCCTTACACTGTACTGTGTCTGTTTAGGTATTTCTATTCTAAGACTAGACAATCTTTGTAATTCTGTTTTTATGTTTCCATTTTCCCAGGACATTTACTAAGGACAAAGGAGCTGGTGGTTTCCTCACAATGAAAGTTTCTACAGTTCAGAGAAGGAAGACCTACATAAGATTTTTCTTTTATTTATTTTTCTTGTAGCATCAACTTCCTCTAACCAAGGATGCTGGCTTTTCTACCAAATGAGATCCAGAACAGGGTACCATCTGCTCTCCGTGCATGGATCTAGGATCTGTGGTACACAGTGCATTGTTCAAATTATTTTTATGCAGTTAAAAAAATGGCAAATTTTGCTCCAGATGAAGCCTACTTAAGTCAAAATGTCATGCTAGTAATTACCTGCATTGCACTGACAGAGAAAGGGAGAGAGGGAGACACAGTAACCTTGACTTGCCAGCTCATATTTCTACCTCAAGTGACCAAGTCACCATGGAGATCATACCCATGTGATCTGTAGACAGACATGATTCATGACTGCTGAAATGGTGGAGACTATAAATAGTGTCAGAAGAATTAAAGTATTTTGGGCCAAATTCTGCTCTCATATACACTCGTTCAAATCCAACTGATTTGAGAGGGTTTGCTGAGGTGTAAATAAGCAGATTTTGGTCCACTGTTTACAATTCAGGCAAGTTTCTGAGAAGCCTCTTTTAAAAAATTAATAAGCTCAAGCTGATTTTTACTGACAGGAGTTCTAACCAGAGTACTACACACAAAGATCCCAATCTTCCACTGTAATGTCTTGGAGCGTACTCACCCAGTGGGGGGAATCTCAGATAGCATAGAGTTATTGTAGGGGCTCCTATCACACCCCCTCCACCCTCCCTCCAACTATGGTGGGAAGTAGAGGAGAAGAGGGTGTGGCTAGGCATCCCTGCACCCCAGAAATTCTGGGTTGCTGATACTGACAAGGCTATATAAATTCTGCCTTGAAAATGGCTCAAAGCCTTGCCCACCCAGAATCAGGGATTGGGAGGAAACAAATATTGCTTAAAGCCACATTGTGACTTCCCTCCCTTTTCCCCTCCTACCCAAGTTGGTCCAGTGCAGAAGGTAGAGGCCCAAGAATCTGACCCAAGGAGTAAACACAAATAAAACTTAGGAAACAACCTGAAGTAAACAGAGACGGGCAAGCTCCTGATGGAAAGTGGTGACCTTAATAAACTTGAAAGATCAAGGTGAAATTTTCAAAGGCACTTCAGGGAGTTGGCTGCCCAACTCCCACTGACACTTTTAAAAATAGTTAAAGAGGGTTAATTCACACCCAGAAACCACAATAAAATTCACTTTTGCCTGTATGCAAAACCAGCTTTATTTCATCAACCAAATGTGCATAGATCTATTAGGAGTTTTTTTCTACAAAAGCTTTTGGAAACTCACCTAATAAAGAAAGAAATGATTTCCTTAAACTCCCCCCTCCCACCCCAAATGAAAAAAACAAAAACCTTGACTCTAAAGCAAGAGAAAAGAAATATCATGGACAGTTGTTTCAAGCAGCTAAAATGCATTTAAAAAACATGATGTTTTTGGATTAAAATTTTAACAAAACAGTCTCTATTAAAATGTAATCCACAATGTGGTCCAAAGGAAAGCTGACTAGGAACTGAAGGAGCAGCTGGACCTACAGTGAAGAAACATGAGATGCCTGAACAGCTCACTTTCCAGCCACAGCAGTACCTAACCCAGGTACAGCATGCCTGTAATGTGCTCAGGAATCTCACTGTAATTTCTCTGCTTGGATGTATGAATGAGTGATGATGCTCTCCAGCAGCTAGTCCACAGAGTGGATATGGGACTGTTAGCACTACTAGCTAAAGAAACTTTTCAGCTTGAGACCAGTGTTTTAAGAGCTTGAGGATCAGCTCTCCATATGTGCTTTCTATAGTGATTGTTTCTGTCTGCAACACATGGACATTGGAGAGACAAGGTAGGTGATGTAATATCTTTTATTGGACCAACTTCTGTTGGTGAGAGAGACAAGTTTTTGAGCTACAGAGAGCTCTTCTTCAGATCTGGGAAAGGAATTCTGAACGTCCCAGTTAAATGCAAGAAGGAACACTTGTTTAGCATAAGTATTTAGCACATATTCTAAGCTGTGTGTGACTTGAAAGTTTCTCTCTCTCACAAACAGAAGTTGGTCCAATAAAAGATACTACCTCGCCTGGTTTGTCCCTCTAATATCCTGGGACAGACGTGGCTACAACGACATACAACACATGGATATGTCACAGTGAAACTTTGTAGTGTGCACAAATAGCCCAACTGGGCCAATTTTAGTCCCTGCCCAATCATCCATATGCCATTGTGGCAGTGTATAGGGGGCCGTTCAGGAGCTCTGAGGGTCTATGAGAGAATTACTAGGTGCAGGAGCAGCCTGGGGGAGCCAATGTATGTTTCCTAGATTCTCCCCACCACCTCCTCCTCTGCCAAGCCTTGGAGGAGACATGCTGGGAGAAAGCCGGGGGCAGAAGACTAGGGGACATGCTTGTAGTTCTCTGCAAGATTCTTTGGAGATTCTGGGCTGCTGTGAAGCCCACAGGCAGAGCTGGGAAGGCTGTCATTAGTTGGAGATCTCCAGGAGTTCCTCTAACTTGTGCTGGAGGCTGTTTCAGCACCTGAGGCAGCCCAGAATCCAACCAGCTCAAAGGTGGTGTAAAGTCACCTTTGCCTGTCTTCCCCACACCTCCTGGTACTGCAAGTTTTGTGCAGGTGCAGCACAGTATCCAGCTCATTAACTCCAGGTGCAATGATTTTACTCCTGTGTTTATAGGAACAGGCCTCTGGATCACGATGTATTTACACCTCTACCCCAATATAACGCGACCCAATATAACACGAATTCAGATTTAATGTGGTAAAGCAGCACTCCGGGGGGGGCGGAGGGGGGCCTGCATGCTCCGGCGGATCAAAGCAAGTTCAATATAACGCGGTTTCACCTATAATGTGGTAAGATTTTTTGGCTCCCGAGGACAGCGTTATATCGGAGTAGAGGTGTATTCTTCTTTCAATCATTTTGTATGAGGATTAGCTAAAGTAGTGCCCTCCTCAATGTTTACTTGTGGAACCTTTATCTGTTCTGCAGTAATTCCTCTTCCAGAAGTGGAGGCAAGAAATAAGTATAGACACTGTTGGGAAATAATGGCCTTGACTTGCATTAAAAATGGTTCAGTTGCACGCATACAATCTACAGACATCATAAGGGAGGAGTCATTTTCATTATTGTTATTTCTAAAGTACTATTGGTGTGGATGGTGCTTTGAGAGTTATAAAATGATATGTCCTTGCCACAAAGAGCTTGCAATCTACACTTTTGCTTCTGGCATAATTTCTAAATGTTTACCTTTTAGCATTTTCTAAAAGTTCTAAAATTGGGTGCTTGGTTGGTTTAAAGTAGATCTTATTTGATTGCTCTTTTCTTTCACAGATTTACCCATTTTTCTATGCCCACCCTTTATCCTGTTTTGTTTCCCGTTGTATTATTCTGCTGCCATCTTTCTAGTAAATTTGGCTACTTATTTTCTGAAAAATCCTGTATTCACATAGGTTTTTTTTGTTTACATAGTTCCTTTCATCCCAAAGAATGTTAATTTTTTTTCCAGACGCTAGGTGGGATTTTCAAAAGCACTCAGGTATTGGTCTGAATCTGCTCCTACTGAAGATAATAAGATTTTTACTATTAACAGTAGCAGCAAACTGAAGGCAATGCTAAGTGCTTTTGAAACCACCCTCCATATATATATATGTATAGGAGCTGGTTTACCCAGCCATGAAATGCAGCCATTTCTGGGTGGAATGAGGCAACTATTTAACAGCTCACAGCAGAACTACTCAATAATGTAGGGCAAGGAGTGACAAATATGAGCATTTAAATTGAATTTATAGGGGAATTTCGGCAATCAGAATGTAATAATCCAAAATGGAATTTTGCCAGGACACTAAAGTTAATATCTCTACATTTTGTGGAAGCTGTCATTGGATCTTTAGTGGACACAGCAGGTCAGGTGATTGGTTTTATATCTCACCTAAAAAGATAATATCTCCACTGCCACTTCCTGCCTACCTACAATTTCCCTGCAGTATAGATTGGAGAAATTACTCTTCCCATTCCCTTATCCCACAGCTCAACTGGCTAACTTTTCATGCTGCTGGTGCACAATGACCACTATGCTTCATACTAGAGGTGGCTGTCTTTCAGTAGTGGGCAAGTTACCCCTACTAAGCACACTTTTCATCCCTCTACAAGCCATTTTGAAATCCTTCTGGATGGCAGGTGTTATATAAATTATTATACTCTCCAGTGAATTGATGCCACCCTTGCTGTCTCTCCTTCCTACTCTCCTGTGCTTATTCCCTCTTCCCTGACTTAGACCACAAGATATTTTGGGAAGAGAATGAATCTGTTACTATCTGTGGGTCAAACTCACCCTTGTGCAAACAGCCAGCATGAAGCCTATGCCCCATTTAAGTTCCACATAAGTTCTCAAGTGGTGCAAAGGGTTCTGCTGGTCCTCTGCAGAGGGATGAATTTTGCCCTCTGGAAAGTGGCTAGCATATTTCAGGTACTATATGCAAAGTATATTTTATACCGCTAGCTCCCCATACTGTAGAGTTTATAAAAATTGAGGCCCAGATCCTCAGCTGGTATCAATCATCATAGTTTCAATTTAAGTCAGTGAAGCTAGGTTAATTTATACTAGGGCCCTGATCCAAAGCCCACTGAAGTCAACAGGAGTCTACTCTACATTAACTTAAATGAGCTTTGAGTCAAGCTCATGAGGCTCTGGACCTGATTATATTTTGCAGACTGTCACTGAGATTGGTAAATTTTGCTGTTGGGGTATTTCTTGGATTGCAGCAGTTCAGTTATCGAAGAGTTTTCCTGATGGAGCATTTTGATATTTGAGGGCTTTGCAGTTGAA